GGTCTGGACCACTCGTGAATTTTGTTCGTATCTGAAAAAAATCTTAGAATACGAAAACATTGGTGAATGCCACAAATTCTCCTAAATCACTCGAACGGTTCTTGTGTGAGGCCCAATGTTAGTAATATGATGGACTGTTAATCTGTCCAATGATGGCTAAAACTAAGTAGGTATAGAAACTTAAAGATGGGGAAGAAGGCACAAACAGTGCATTACATACTATGACTGAAAAAAATAGCTGTCTACAGGGAAAATATGTGCATTTCACCARTGCATTTTGGGATTGTTTATATCCGAGGTAGCTTCATAAATGWTGTACACAAACAAACTGATACTGCAACAGTAGCAGAGGGCCCTGAGGCACAGAAACACGAGCATGGAGACTCTTCTGCAMAACATCTGTTCAGGATGTTTCACTTTTGTGTGCAGCTGTGTCTGTTTGGCAGGTACACATCCTCCCAACTTATGACACATTTGTTGTGTGTCAGCGAGTCARGTCACATTACTGTCATGTCACAACTAGGAGCCTGTCTGAAAGTCCCCGTGGCTCACAAACACCTCCAGTCAGGCCGTGTTAAACTGGACTTCCCGTGTCTCAGGGTGTATTCAGACCAGGAAAGTCCTTTGGTCCAATTGTTTGGTCCGGACCAAAAATGGACTTTTTTTTCTTCGTTTGGTGCAGTTTGCAGTCACATTGTGCTTTTTTGTAAACGAACTATAACTTGTAAACAAAGCCACGAGGCTGATGATCATTGATCCCATTGGACAAAAAAAGGACGGGGGCGGGACTGAGCCACAGACCCAGAAGAAAACAAGGAAGTCCTGCATGCTGCGGTTCTGATGCGCACATTTTTGCTGATAGTAAAACTGCAACAGCATTTAAAATGTCAGAAGCAGCTAATTTAATGYTGGTTCCGTGATGARWTTCTAATTTTGGAGCGGCGTCAGTAAATGTGTCCCGCAACCCAAAGGAGACGAGGTGCTCTGAGTGTTCTGACCCACAACATGCTGGCAGCAGAGCTGCTAACAGGAGACGACGAAACAGGTATGATTTCAGTTTATTTAGCTCAGCAACYGTGGCCTGTGAAGTCCAAAAATGTGCATGTTTAATGCAGTTTGTTCGGTTAGAGTCCGGTCTGTATCCACACCAGAAGCAAATTGAAGTGAACCGCACCAGAGTTTGTTTGGAAGCGGACCGAGACCACCTCAAAAAGCAGGTCTCGGTCCGGTTGTTTAATCCGCACCAGAGTTCGCATGAGTGTATTCACACCTGCACAAAAGGTCCGGACCAACGCTGGAAACGAACTCTGGTTCGTTTAAAGCGGAGCAAATTATCAGGTCTGAATACYACCTCAGAAAAACRTTTCCACATGGACGCTCTTGATCAAAGTCAAATTCTAATACTTTTATTTGGTCAAACTTCTCGAATGGGTTCAACTGGAACACTTCTGGAGCAAACTTTTTCAAACTGCACTGATGTAGTTCAGAAGAACAATTTTTTTATGTTTGACTTCATGGTTTGCAATAAATAACTTAAAATGTTCATTTAAAAGAGAAAAAAGACAAACATTAGGCAGGTGCAAATGCAAAACAAATGACTGTAAACGCAAAAACAAGTGATCCGGTAAAGTAATACAATCTAATATAGGAAATACAACAACTGATCTTGACTGGAGATTTCATTTAGATCTGGTCTGTGGTCCACCATTTGGGGACACTTACGACAGACCAACATTCAGATCATCATTTGCCTGTAATGTCACTGGGTCAATTTAAAAGCTAGTTTCTTTCTTCACAGTTCTTAGTACAACAGCTGTGGCAAATGCAACAGCATGGCATCAGCTGCTGCATTCAAAGCCTTCTTACCTCCCCAATCATCCCGTTCCAAATCCCATGCACCAGTTTGCCYTGTTTCCCGTTGGTAACCAGGTAAAGGTCGAAGGAGAACTTGATGGTTTTGGACAGTTTTTTGAGGATATCTATGCAGAAACCTTTGCAGCATAATTTGGTGAAGGACTCAGAGAGACCAAAGGGACTGTAAAAAGAGAGAGGGGYAAAAAACAATCATTAATTGATAAAGAGCTTTCTCTGTTACTATCTTTAACTCCAGGCTGTTGTTGTCACGGAGCAGGTGGTAAATACTTGTGCGAGCAGCAAAGTGAAGGGCAGGCACTCGCTGGTTCATTAGCTAAAATCAATAACGGTTAACAAGGTGAGTTTTAGGAAGATGGAGAGGGTGACCAAAGACACACAAACTTTCGCGCAATGTGACAGAGGCCAGGGCAGACGGCTGAGTGACCCTGATGGCTTCCATTAAGGTCGGTAACATTTGAGAGACACACTTCCTGACTCTTTGGCCTTGCTACTTAATGAAGTGTAGAAGAATGTATCAGCAGAACAAGACGTCACAAAAAAAGGAATAAAACACATAAGAAAAATGAGTACAGTGAAAATTAAAACCCTAGCAATCCTTATATGATTGTATATCACCCACTGCATGTGCCAAGTATTGAACTAAGATTATTTTGTGATGAGGATACGGGGAGCCGAGTGTAAAATAAAATGTTAAAACATGTCACTCACATTTTCATTATTTAACTTACTTTAAATACAAAATCCTAGTAAAAAAATCTGCAGACATTTTATGATTTAACTAACTGTTCTTACGTTTTGCTAATTTTTTCAAAATGTTAAATTTAAATGTTAAATACAATATTATATATAAATCTAATTGTGAAAATAAAATAAATGTAACTAGATGTTAACGCTGCCCTACAAGACATCAAACTTGCAATTCTGATTGGTGTCCTTGCTGCGTTTCACGCTGCCGGACCACAGGTACCAACGCATGTTTTCAATTAACACGTTTTGAATTTAAATTTGAAATATCAAATTCACCATCATTAGCAGCATTAGCATTTGCTTTGGTCTTAGGATAATGACATCACAGTAAAGCTGTGCACCACCAGCAAACACTGCCAATTCAAATTTTTAAATATAGGACTTATCTTTTAGCTGCAACATTTAAGATTTAATGTTTACATTTAGATTTACCCAATTAGATTTAGGGTTTAATATTTACAGAGAATATTTAACATTTAAATTGAACATTTAGTAATAATTAGCTAAATGTAAGAACAGTGAGCTAAATAAAAATAAAACATTAGTAGAATTGTTTTTTAACTAGGGTTTTACAGACATAAAGCGAGCTAAATAATGAAAACGTGTCGGTGACATTTTTTAACATTTTTCTTAAACTTGAATAATATTTGTCCTTTTAATCTGCAGAACTACTGACAAAAAGTTTCACAATGACGATTTTAAAATAATCAAACATTTAAAACGGTGACACCTTTAGAGTAAATTACGATCGTTTTTTAAAATTTCTTTATTCATCCAACCTACAGGAATAACAGATGTGTATTTTTTGTTTTTTTATCCCTCCTCCCCGCCCTCATCCATCCCCACCTTGCTGCAATAAAAATAAAATGAAATAAAAATAAATAAGATATAATAATAAATTAACAATTATACTCAAACAACAATTGTGCTGATAAAATAATAAAATAAAAATAAACAAAAATTGATTCACAAGACCAAGACTGTATAGAGTAAATATGTGGGTAACCTACACTCAAGCAGCGGGTAAAATAAGTATTGAACACGTCACCATTTTTCTCAGTAAATATATTACTAGAGGTGCTAATGACATGAAATTTTCACCAGATGTTGGTAACAGCCCAAGTGATCCATACATACAAAGAAATCAAACCATAAATGTTCAGAAATGAAGTTATTTGTAATAATGTGGAATGGCACAGGGAAAAAGTATTGAACACATGAAGAAAGGGAGGTGTAAAAAGGCATGGAAAGCCAAGACACCAGCTGAACTCTCTCAGTAATTAGAAAACAAGCCTGCCCCTTGTCAGTGCAAGTTAATATCAGCTGGTTCAGTCCCAAATGATGGCCAGGTATCACACAAGAACCATCTGATGATGGGTAAAAGTAAAGAGCTCTCTCAAGACCTTCACAACCTTATTGTTGCAAAGCATAATGATGGCATCGGTTACAGAAGAATGTCTAAACTTCTGAAGGTTCCAGTGAGCACTGTTGGGGCCATAATTCAGAAGTGGAAAGAACATTATTTCACCATAAACCGACCACGACCAGGTGCTCCTCACAAGATTTCTGACAGAGGAGTGAAAAGAATTATCAGAAGAGTTGTCCAAGAGCCAAGGACCACTTGTGGAGAGCTTCAGAAAGTAAATAACTTCATTTCTGGACATTTATGGTTTGATTTCTTTGTATGTATGGATCACTTGGGTTGTTACCAACATCTGGTGAAAATTTCATGTCATTAGCACCTCTAGTAATATATTTACTGAGAAAAATGTTGACGTGTTCAATACTTATTTTACCCGCTGTATGGGTATACATGCACAGGTCAAAATAGTACATAGAAAATTTAAAGCCAAGTCACTGTCAAAGGTTAGAACTGTAAGGGATGACTGAGGTCGCTGGGCCAGGAGTGCAGGCACATWTGCAGCYGGTTTAGTTTCTGTGTGATTTTCAAGTTTGAGGGAGGACATCTAGTTTTTCATTTTTTAACATTTTAACAATTTTTAAGATCTTACACAATCATTTAGCTCCCAGAATAAATGTTGGAATCAGTCAGCTACTTCCACAACCAACTTAAAGTGTAATATCTGTAAATCTGACACACTTGTTGCCATTTAAATGTTTTTAAGGTCAGCTGGCTGTGGCAGCTATCTCACAACTGGCTGACTCCAAAAGCTCATCGGTTGTAGATGTTAATCCAGTAATTACTTTTGGCAAGTTTTATTAAAATTTGTCCCGTGGTTCATGAGATATTTTATCAGACACATGTACACACACAAGCAAACATGAGCAAAACTATTATTGTCAACCTAAACTTTATGAAGAACGAGTCCCTTTGTGTGACACTGATAACTTCAACATGTCAGTGATTCAGCAAATGTGCCAAGGCGCGATAAAAGTTCACGTCAAAGAATAAACGAGCGAAAGATAAAAGTCAAGCGAGTAATTAACAGTACCGTTGATTGTTTTCAAAATTGTTCATTATAATAAAATTGCATTTGGATGTTTTGCTTCTTCCGTGGGAGTCTAACTCTGATAAACTCGGTGTTAATTAATTGCTGGAGGAGCTGACCACCTGCCGTCATCATCAAACACTCTCCACCTGAAAATGCACCACGGGCGCGCTCAAACTGGGCCGTTTCTCTCCAGTCTAACGCACGAACACGTGCTCACACGCAGCTGCTGGTCGTCTGGGGATTCTTGTTGCCATGTGTGTGGTCTCCTTTATGCTAAAATGCCCAGAAACTGGTACAGTGTGGAGGAGAGGAGGATGAGGCCGCTTGACCGGAAAGAGAGAGGGAGAGTTAAAAGGAAAAACACACACACACACACACACACACACACACACACACACGCACGACAAACCACCAGACAAGTTCTGACAGGGTAACGGCTCAGTTTGGCGGGAAAAGGAGGGCAAATGGAATGGAGGGCAAGCAGAGACACTGGAGAAGGAGGTAAAAATCGAAAATTACTCTGTGATCCTGCAGGAACAACAGCAAAAAGCACAGCAGAGTTAATGCCTTCCAGCCTCTGTGCTTCATAAATCCTGAATATCCATCACAAATTACTTTTATTCATTGATCACAAGTATAAAATAATGGTTCTTTATAAAACGGCCAAAATAGATTTGACAAACGGTTATTGTTCATCTAGCCTGGTAAAACCAGCCCCTTGTCCTTCACTTTGCTTCAGAGGGTCTGGACTCTCGGCTATGGAGCAGCGATTTTTGCTGGAGGCGTGGCCTCTGCTGAAGTTTAAAATGATTGGATCGGTTGGCCGCGACGTATGCGTGTGCCAACTCCACTGTGAAGGAGGCTAAGCTAAGAAGCTAACCGGAAACTGTGTGCGCTGTAAACAACCCTACTGAGAGGGGAGAAGTACCAAGACGGCTGTAAGAGTGCTGCAGGCTTTTTAATTTAATTTGGAAACCTTATCAACACAGACTGGCTTCATTTACTTCCTCCACTGCCATTGCTAAACTACAAGCAGACATTGCGCAGAAAATCAACGTTGTTCAAAACTCCTCCTTCTGTTTGCTGATTGGCACAAGGTAAAATTCTACCGAAATAATCCTTGTTTATGGGAGAAATCCCAGACAGAGCAGTGAATTGAAATTAGAATTAAGCTGAACTGTGTAGGAAAGCAAGGGCCAGGCTATTATTCTTCCTTCCTTTCACAAGTATTGATTTTATGACCACATCCACATAAACCAGGGGTCTTCAACCTGTGGCTCTCGTGCCATATGCGGCTCTTTAGTGGGTGTGAAGAGGCTTTTTGTACCTTTAGATCAAAAATAATGTGGAAATTAACTCTACTCATGTTGATTGATTGATTGATTGGTTGGTTGGTTGGTTGGTTGGTTGGTTGGTTGGTTGGTTGGTTGGTTGGTTG